CAGAGCTACACTTGATATAGATGCCGAAATTACCTCCGATGATATCTGTGCCCAAATACAACAATTCTGTCCTCATCTGAAGACATTCAGTCAGCTGTTCAAATTCCCGCCATGGATATCACGGCGGAATTCAGCTCATTTCCAACGAGCTGGGCCCGACTCAAGCGCAGAAGTCACGCCAAGATCTTGCCGAATCCATCACATCATGGTTAGGATTTCTAACCGTCTGAATTTGCAGGATGGAGCATATGTACGTCAATGTGCGCAGATGTCTACTCAAAACCGGCAACAAAGTAATCGCCATACAGCCATTTTGCGAGCGCTTTCCAATTCACAGGTCATCACACCAGAAGACGACCGCCTGCGCTGAGACAAGCAGCGTTTGTGAAATCCATTCACACCATTCACACCATAAACGAATGAATCTTGAACTTACTCTGTGCACTGGCGAGCAAAATGTGCCGTCTTATTCTTCTCATAACTTTGCATGCCAGATTTTGTATAGTAGGCGTCAGACTAGAGTGTAAAAAATACTTGACTAGGCGAAGTATAGAGCATGAAGCGGGCGTTGGAGTTTTAATTGATCACTTCCACTTTTGGCTCCTAACAGCCAGTCTCGACGTCGGACGACAGTTGTAACAGCTAAGGGTCAATTGGCAGAATCACAAAAAGAACAGTATTCCTTTACTAGTAAGAAGGGCACTTTGACAGGTGACCCTGTTTCTTCTTCCAAAGGGCATGAAAGCCGAGGCTGCACCAGGTCGTAAGCGGCACCATCCAGTACATCATATTATAGTAACAGCCTTGGCGTACTCACCAACTCACTTTACGGTTCACATGATAGTAGACCGCCTTTTTCTCATCGAGTAGACAGGAGGAGGGTGCTCTTCCTCAACTAACTCTTAAACGCTGTCTTAGTTGTGCAGTACGTCGACCCTCCTCGAGAACCTCGGCATGCTTCGAAGCTAAAATGGGCATGATCTTAGATGCGCTTTGTGGGCTTTGATATCGCACTGCGTGGGCTAGGAAATTTCAAGCTATTCAGAATCGCGCCGCTGCTTCATAGTAGAGGTTTGCGAAGGATTATGGAACGGCAGAGACAGTGCTCCGTCGGCAACAGAGCTTATCACGTTCAGTTGGTCCATAAGATCAGAATTGTGATATGGCTTAAGTGAGTCCACGTAGAACACATAGTTTATAAATATTTTCGTCGGTATGTTAAGACTATGATCTAATCCATATTTTGCCACCACCGCGACGGTTCAATATGGCGTGGTCGCATTCGATCTGATAGACCACGGAAAGTATATGTGTAAGTAGGTTAACCGAACTAACAAATGCTTCTCTAACACATCCGTGTGTATCGCAGAAACCTTCTGCATCAAGTTAGTGCTTCTGATTATTCTCACTCTCAGCACAGAATCGTAGACCCTGCACATGACGGTATATTTAATCGTGATAGCTATAACTGCTAGAATTGTATCACGGCTAATTTCTGCATGTCAAATTGGATTAAAACAAAATCTAAAGACAAAGACACCCCGTGCCAGCTTCAAAGACTTTCGACGCATACTGTAAGAATATACTAGTGCAGATATCTTCTTCTACGTGCATATTTTTGAAGAGAAGAGATCTTTGTTCTCTCTTGAAGTGTTCGTTAAAAAATCAAACACAGATTAGCCAAGTGGATATTGCCAAGCGAAATTGTGCTCTTGATTAGGGGTTTGATCTCCCCAAAAAGACATTGCTGAATCACACGGTGTTTAGTGTTCTCAGTGGGATTCCTAGGCGGGCTAACGACCCCTCACCCTTTCAGTATATGATCGCGGCAGAGTGTTTGCTGTATATATTTTTACAGAGAGAATACCAACGACGGCTTCACGTCAACGTTACGACAGCGTAAGAACATCATAGACAATCAATCTCACTTTAGCTTGCAATTCCAGCCTGAAGCTATTATCTGCTATGATTCAGAGCCCTTTCGTTAAACACTAGCCGAACCAATAAAGTTTGTAGCAGATTATGTAAAATCATGCATTTCGCTATTCAACAAACTTCAATATGTATCGTTAGCTCGTTTTAATACCACGGTCTCATTGTGATCCAGAAAATATCCGCGATTGACACGTTCTAGTTGACATGTCTAATCTAGTGCCTTGCACCATCAACTTCTTTCGCCAAAGCTTAGCTGTAGAGCGCGGAACTTGGTTAGATATAACGATTACCGGCAGTTTTTTTCGAGCAAAATTTCTTGGCTAATTTCTGACTGATTACGGTATCGCGGGCAACGGGAGAAAGGACTTTCTTGTTCAAACGGTACACGAAAGGCAATGATGATGGTATTACCGGCCGAAATATATAGAAGACTACCAATCCAACCCTTTCTTATGGTCTGTCAACGCTATGCTGGAAGTGACATGCTGGCCAAAGTTGTCAACGCATGTGGCGAGATTTTTCCGCGCTGATATGTTTCCACACGTGTGCACATACGTACTTTCCCACGTATACATATTGGGCCGAAAATACATATCGCTCTCCGGCCAGAATGTCTTTTATTTGTATCAGTCACACAAATACGTCACACAATATTCTGTCTTAGAGTTTCTCATCACGAGGTACAACTATATGTTGAATGACGTGCTGTGATACAGCGCTAATTATGAATGGTGTGGACGTGCATCCGTGCGTTTCGATAAAGCGGCACTGAATTCTCAATCTGCTTACCTTGGAAGAATCTCAGCAATGCAATACTTGTGGCATCTGACCCCTAGACTGTACGTTTAGCTTTGTAAATTGGTGATATCAGCATCGGGATATGCGACTATCAGAATTGGGGCGACGGGAAAGCGCGTCCGCTATCACATTAGTCCGGCCCTGCTTATACCTTTTCTTCAGAAACAAAAAAACAATCCACCGTTTTCTGTGGGAGATCAATGAAGACGTCACTGTGTGTATCGACACATGTTCTCTGTTGGCTAAACTTGTTTTTGATCCAATCAGCTTCATCTCAAACTGAAGAAGCGCATACTTTATTGCAGATTGTCCTTTTCATGAACAGGGTATTCTCCCCTATCACTTCAAGCCGGTGAAACTCAAACGCAATCACTCATTCATGACCATCGATGGTGTAAAGCATTGCCTGTGACAGAGGCTGGAGCGTCAGATAAAACATAAAAAGGCCACTCTTCGATCGGTAGAGCCAATCCAAGGTGGCACAAGATCTATTTTATAGTCCTAGATACCGCATTTTCTGCCGCACCTCAGCTCATTTGAAACCCTTTAGAAAATGGTAAGGGGTTGTGGCCTATCGATAAAGTTTGTAATTTGTATTGTTAACAACCGAGGCCAAGCCAAATCCTTTATTTTTAGAACAGGGCACTTGCCAACTGGCGCTGGTTTTTCATAGTGCGGCTCCAATCGCAACCCTTACTTTTCAATGAAGCAACTAGAACTGGGCTCTCATCGCCGCACAGCCAAGCTATATTGATTTTGGTGAATAGCTGGTTCAATCGTAAACACTTCAGCACTGCTCACAAATATTTCTTCACATCTGACTTCCCGTGGTCAGACGCTTATGTACATAGTCAGATAGGCTGGTGCATCGCTCACAATATGTCCTGAACAATTGCATCATGCAAAACTTGAACGTCGCAATGCATGCAAACGTACTCTTCGGTGTAACCAGCCTCTCCCAAAGCAGACCACACCGAATACCCACCGCGATCAAAGTGAATTGCTGTATCTCAAGAGCAGTGGGTGATAAACCAAGGCCACTGAACACTGTGAGACCGGCCATACTTCCCTGGAGGCCATACTATGTAGCAAATGCATTTTTGTTATAATCGTGGCTGCTTTATAATCATCATTAGCATGCACATTACTAAATGGCCGTCTTTCTGACAGGTATGCTGCGTTGGGGGATACAGGCTCCATCAACTAGCTAAATTTATGATTCGCATCAAAACGTATTAAATACGTCTGGAGTTGGGCAATTGCTGTGTGACCCGATAACCTGTTCCGAAAAAAATCAATTTTATGATGCAATCCTATTGGATCACAAGCGTGGAGGGTATCTTGTCAACACGCAATGCTGTTCCTTCAGCAAAGGATGTATATTTTGGAAAAGCTGTCCTTCTCCTCGCACGCAGTGCTGAGCAATTAAAATACATTTATAATAAAGAAAATTACTGTACATACTAAGAAAAATCTATGCATTTTAAATCAGGCTGCTTTGCCACAAATAAAAATAATTAAGGCCAGTTTCGAAACTCAACGGAAGCGTTAATTAGCCTTGGGCTAAGGTTGTAATTACTCTTGGAGTAAGCGGATTGCGACCCGCTAAACTCGACTTTGTTCTACGTATAGAACGAAAGGCCGGTGACCTAACTTACGCTTCCTCTAAGCGCAAAGTTACGGCAGCCCCGCTGCAGCATTAATACTGACAGTCCTGCCACGTGGCTTCTTGTTACACCACTGTCACTGTGTAATACACACCTATGTACGGCCCCACAATCTTGTGCGTTCCGCGTCATACAAGGTCTTTGTAACCCCGTTACAAAAGCAGATGGATTCATCATCTTCATGGGTAACATTGAGAGTGACAGCTGGAGCGGGGGGCTGAGGGAGGCAGGGTTTTTCAGATCAGTTGATTTATGGGGTAGCCGGCAAATTGAGAAGTGGTTCTTTCACGTCACAAAATCAAAGCATCTACTTTTGTTCTGCGTATTTCTAATGAGAAGATTGAAATTATATGTTTTATAACATTTTTCAAAAATAGTTTTACTGTTAAATTGCTTTGCGGCGATGACTTAAGTAATTTGTCAACAAAACGCCTGTCACAAATGTGCATTGGTGTCGGAGTAAGACAACGGGAACATTACCGGTGAATGCCGATGCTCTATTGTCTTTTCGCAATTGTTATTTCAAAGCTATAAATAATTTCCGCTTTTTCAAGACCCTACTATTAACATAGGCGCACGGTTGGACACGTGACCTAAACAATGTTGTCCTTGACTTGCGGCGCTGATGCGGCAACGTCCACATCAAATATCTTTAATTTAACAGCCTTGTCTTCTACTTTTAAGCGACTCGCGTACGACACAATTTTTGAGAAGCAGACGACAGTTTTGGATTCCCAATGCCCACGTGAGGCGTCTGAAGCTCAAATGGAGCGATCAGTGCGCAACTATGAGAGTCTGGAGGCCCAAGTTCGGCCGCTTTATGTAGGAAATTCACTACGAATAGATACTACGTCGATATTATCAGAAAATGTTCGGACGCCAGCTCCACAAACGAAAAACTTTTACAAAAACCGGAGTCACGCGCTGTCCTACGTAGATTTGGATGAGATTAAGCTTCCAGACTTGTACGAAGGTGTGTGCCGTGTCTTTTGCCAGCCTAACACATGGTCACCTGCATTCGCATCACCTGGTGATTTTACGATTAAAATGACCTCTGTCACTCTGGATCACGGTGTGCTTTCTTTTCGTATTGCAGTCATGTGTTGCTGCGCCAAATCTATTTGCGATGGCTCGCGCGTTAAACCGGCCTTAAAACGACAATACTACGTCTCGTTTGTAGAGCGCACACAGCGAGATGTTGTTCAGTTGACAGAGGCGCTATCGCTTCAGTATTTAGGTCACCGTCTGGCTCAAAAGATGCCAATGCATGGAAATGGTCTGATTGCGACGCCAAAGGAACGGGCTCTGAACGATTACGGCGACCGAGTGATTCAATTTTTAAGCTTAGTGATGCAGATCACCGAAATTGGTTTTAATAGACTCGTTAAAATCAAAGAGCCGGTGTCGAGCAACATGCGAATACGTGACTTTCTGGGACTATCGTTGACCATTGGGGATCAAACAATTGTTGCAACGAGCTCTTGCGATGCTCGCATTGAAGGTCAAGACTGTGGCAATCGTCCAGTTTTGCCAAGCGCTTGGCTCGATATCGATGTGAATTTGTCGACTGATGCAACTTTTTTTGATGGGTACACACGACGTTCGCCGCGTGGCGAATTAGCATTTTCGCGTATAGGTAATCGTCCATTTGACAATTGTGATGACTTTGGTCAGACGGTGCGATCGACGGGAAATTCGAATCGCTTAGGAGCTGGTAAATGTGTTCGCTTCATTAATCCTAGTCATTGGGTGGATTACACACCAAACGACGGCTCGTTTACTGTGGAAATTTCCAGTGTGACAGTCGTAGACGGTATCGCGAGGTTTGGCATCAGTGTTCTTTTTTATTCGAATGGGGATCTACAAGTGGCCACTGTTGATCGTCGCTTCTCCGAATTTGATGCTTTGGCCATACTGCTAGAGAAAAAGGTGCCTTCCTTGAAAATTCGTAATCTACTTCCACCAAAAACTTTTTTTCGTTATACATCAGCACGCTTTTTGGAGCGACGAGCGGCATACCTGCAGCAGTTTCTGGAGTGCGTACTTTGTATGAATTTTTCAGGCGTTCTAGACCAAAAGATACCTCTTACAGCAGAGCCTCGCGTTCGCGAGTTTTTAAAGCTTCCTACTGTTGAGTGGATTGTAGTGCCATGGAGCAAGCAATTGCCCGTTTTTAGGAACACAAGTGAATGCTACCGCCCCCACTTATCAATATTATCAACTGCAGCGTCAGAATTTTCTCCTCGCTTCAATACATGCATCTCTCCTCGCCGCACTTCACGCTGGATCTTTAACGACTTGACGACACCACGTCACGAAAGCTTTTTACTCAAACGTAGCGACTCTATGTAAAGTTAAATGATATGGTCCACATTTTTATACCTTTATTTGTATTTTTTAATGCAAAAAATCTATCACCATTAACAAAATCATGGAAAAAGTAGAGATAGACGAACTACGGGAGCTTACGCAACGTGTATGCACGAACGTCGCGGCGTATGTTGGTTCGCAAGTTAATGGTGCGGAAAATGTTTTTCATTTGAAGTCGTAAAGGTTCTATTATACCTCACGTTTGCTTACGCCATTGGTTCAGGCTCGCTTGAGTCGATGCAGTTGATGCAGACCGTCGTGAATAACATTAACATCAAGTACGTAAATATGAAGCATGAACTTGAAAATCTGGGCACGATGTCAAAATTTTTGGAGACCCGTGGTAAAACTCTCGAATTAAATGGCCGCTTGGAAGTGGCGCTGGTATTTTGACCCTGTGTTTTGCTTTCAGCTAGTTCAATCGATGAGAAAATGAACATCATAGACGACGTTGACGAAGAGCTTTATGAACTTGAAGACATGGTGGACCAGCTTGAGCAATACACAGAATCTTTAGGTTCTCTAGTGTGACTATTGCTGTTGCTATTGCTTTACTCACACTGTTAATTTGCTGCTTATACTCTACTCGCAGAAAATAAATTCAACGAGCTGTGCTAGAAGTACGAATGATTTTTGATTAAAAACCTAAATGACATGAAGATAACAGGCATTATCTTTTCTACAGAGCTGAAAACTCGTGCGCCACAATAGAAAAATGAAGTTCTTCATTGACATGTTTTTTCGAATGAAGTCGTAAAGGAGGTCTACCGGACTTATTGCTTATGATACAGTATAGGATTTATAAATACTTTTGCGTCTTCTATATTTAGCACTGAATTGAAGCCAGAATGACCTGGAAACTGCTCGTTGCCGCATATTAGGCATCCACGTCCCTTCACTAAAACAAAAGCCTTGTGGGACACAGGGTCTTTCAATTTACTAGCCGAAGCACTAGCAATGTCTGCCATGCAGAATATGAAGTGTGTAATCGTCGGGTGAGTGCATCTGATTGATGGTGCATTTATATCATTTGGAAGAGACCATGTTTGACTATCTACCAACAGCGACGGTGCCGTGGGCAAGACGTGTGTGCTTATCTCGTACACGACTAATACATTTCCGGGTGAGTATATACCCACGGTATTCGACAACTACAGCGCCAATGTGATGGTGGATAATCGGCCAATCAATTTGGGGCTGTGGGACACTGCTGGTCAAGAGGATTACGATCGCCTGCGTCCTCTTAGCTATCCTCAGACAGATGTGTTCCTTATTTGCTTCTCAGTCGTTAGGTAAAGTGCCGCCATGTATATTTTATTGTGTAAAATTTACTCTTGACGCTTTGTGCTACAGCGTTGCCTCATTTGAGAATGTCAAGTCCAAGTGGCTGCCTGAAATACGCCACCACGCACCTTGCGTGCCGTTTATACTTGTGGGCACCAAGTCAGATTTACGTGATGATGAAGAAACGCTTGAGAGGCTTAAGGAGAAGAATCTTGTTCCTATCACGAAAGAGCAGGTTCGATTAGAGGAGTGTGAAAGGTTGATTTGCCAATTCACGTGCTACTGGTGTCAATGTTTACAGGGAGAAGAGCTCAAGATTGAGCTTGGCGCATACAAATATATGGAGTGTTCGGCACTTACGCAAAAGGGGCTGAAGTCGGTGTTTGACGAGGCTATTCGATGTGTCATCACCAACCAACAAAATCCTAAAACAAAGCAACGATCTTTTAAGTGCTCAATTCTGTAGACGTAGTTAGCAACAGTAATGGTAATTTCAAAGTTTAATCCATAAACCTTTATTTGAATTCTAAATTAGTCTCTATTTTTCTATCTTCCCATAATTTTGCAATGATCTCCAGACTTATGTCATGGCTGCTCAGCGCGGCCTGCACGAGTGGCACGCTATGCATGTGTGCTATCTTTATTCTGTACATATACCAGGATCGCTTGCTTTACTTTCCAGCAATTCCGGGCGCCTCCAAGCTAACAAAAGACAATCCGCCAGGTACGACATAGTGTCGGGACAGCGAATGTGCCAATACTAATATGATGGCTATCGACAGGATACCGCACCCCGGAAGAGTTTTCTATCGATTATGAAGACCTCATGATTACTTGTAAGGACGGCGTGAAGATCAACGCATGGCTCATGAAGCAGAAGAACCACTCAAATCGGCCGACCCTTATATTCTTTCACGGCAACGCCGGAAGTAGGGAATATATGCTAAGGCATTAATGCATGCATCGCGTTTTGTATTCGTGGCACTTATTGTTCAAGCTGTGCTCTAGATATTGGATATCGTCTGCCAAATGCCGTGCAGCTATTTCGAAAGGTGGGAGTCAACATTTTGCTCGTGGATTACAGAGGATTCGGCCACAGTGAGGGAACTCCATCTGAGGAAGGAATCAAGCTAGATGCTGAAGTATGTTTTATTGCATACGCTAACAACTATAACAAATACTAACAGTGCAAACACAATGTAAGGCTGCACTTGACGCCATGTTCAATCGTCCAGATATCGATTCGTCGATGCTTGTAGTGTTGGGCCGGTCACTTGGTGGAGCAGTGTCTATTTACCTCGCTGAAAAAGAGCCCGTGAGGGTACGCTGGTAAAATCACCTCAGTGATAACAAATAACTAATGACATGTGTATCAGGTGGCTGGCGTTATTCTGGAAAACACATTTCTCAGCATCTCGGCAATGGTGGATGCGCTACTGCCTTTCTTGACATTTTTAAAGCGATTTGTGCTTCGAATAGACTGGAACAGCGAATCCGCTATTCAGAAGTTGAAGCAGCCGATTCTTTTTATCGCGGGGTTGCAAGACGAGCTAGTGCCTCACCCCCACATGAAGAAATTGCGATCTCTCGCCACTTTAAGTAAGCACGTCGTGTGGTACACAGTCGCTGATGGAACGCACAACGACACTTGGCTACGCGGAGGCGACAAGTATTACTCGAAACTGCGGCAATTTCTTGACGCAATTATTGTTGGCAACAAGTGCTTGGCATCTGATGATTCCTCGGTTAAACCTCCTCCACAAAATGAAAATGCCATCCCGAATATGCTGCAGCAGCCGCTATTAAACTCGCTTACGCAAAGATTCAAAACTGAATAAACTTGCCACATACTGAATGTTTATAACATAACTTGAAGCTGTGTTAATTCTGATTGGCTGATGATACAATGAGGCACGTTAGAATCCCGTTGAATCCAATTCGTATCTCTTAAGGATCTAAGCATTTTGGATTTCTGCAATTTCCTTCACATACAATGGTACTTCAGACGGCCTTTAACTTGCGCCGAGCGGCTCTTAAAGCTCAGCTGGCATCCTCTCATGCGCTTTCCACAGCATCTGGCAGCTCTGGTGCCTTTCTGACTCTGGAGACTCGCCCTAATGGCGTGGCTATTGTGCGATTGGACGATAAATCGGCCAAAGTGAACACTATTTCGACCAAGATGACAAAAGAAATGTCGTCGATGCTTGACACTGTGGAGAATGACCCTGATATTAAGTCGGTGGTGCTTATCTCGGCTAAGCCCGGCGTTTTCATTGCCGGCGCTGACATCGCTGAGCTAAATGCATGTAAAACAGAAGAGGAGATGCGAGCCTTATCTGGCTCTGGTCAAGCCTTTATGAACCGCCTTGCGGGCTCCAAGAAGCCGTTTGTGGCAGCTATCGAAGGATCCTGTATGGGTGGAGGTCTTGAGGTGGCACTCGCATGCCACTATCGTGTTGCCTCTCAAAGTAAAAAGACGCAACTAGCGTTGCCTGAAGTGATGCTGGGGCTGTTGCCCGGTGCGGGGGGTACTCAGCGCCTACCAAAACTTGTAGGTATCCAGGCTGCATTGGATATGATGCTTACAGGGAGAAATATCAAGCCTGACAAGGCTCTGAAGATGGGTCTTGTGAATCAAGTGGCGGATCCGTATGCTCTAGAGAGTGCGGCCATCTCAGCAGCTGAGCAACTAGCTTTTGGAAATCTAAAGTCTAGCAAGAAGAGTAGGGGATTTGTTAATCGGATTTTGGAGGACACACCGCTGCGTCAAATTGTCTTTAAGAAGGCCGAAGAGATGGTAGTGAAGAAGACTGGCGGACATTATCCCGCACCGAAGCTTATTATAGAGGCAACACAAACTGGTATTGAACAAGGAACTCAGAAGGGTCTGGAGGTGGAGGCTGCTAGTTTCGCAAAGCTAGGAATGACTAGTGAGGCGAAGGCGCTTATGAGTATTTTTTTTGGACAAACCGCTTTGAAAAAAAATCGGTATGGAAAACCAGCGAAACCTGTGGAAACAATGGGTATCGTTGGTGCTGGCCTCATGGGAGCTGGGATTGCACAGGTGTCGGCTACTAAAAATGTTCGCGTCTTGTTGAAAGACCGCAATGCCGTAGCTGCAGCAAAGGGTGAGGACTATGTACGCAACAACCTGGATCAAAAAGTTAAGCGCAAGCGCATGACGATTTTTGATCGAGATGCCGTCATGGCAAAGATCGTGCCTCTCTCCGATGAGGATGATATCTGGATCAAACATATCATGAAGGCAGATCTAGCCATTGAAGCTGTGTTTGAAGACTTGGCTTTGAAGCACAAGGTGTTATCTGATCTTGAAAAGTACGTCCCGAACGATTGTGTACTTGCAACAAATACATCGGCACTTCCAATTGCCGACATTGCATCTGCCTGCAAGCGTCCGGAGAATGTGATTGGAATGCACTATTTTTCACCTGTGCCGAGTATGCCGCTATTGGAAATTATACGTCATGCAGGTACAAGTGATGCGACAGCCTCGAAAGCCTTGGATTTAGGACTTCGGCAAGGCAAAACAGCTATCGTGGTGAAGGATGTTCCAGGATTCTATGTTAATCGCTGCCTTGGGCCTTACATTGCAGAGACATTGGCTCTTGTAGCAGATGGTGTGGATCCGGAAACTCTCGATAAACTCATAACAAAATGGGGCTTGCCTGTGGGTCCTATCACGTTGGCTGATGAGGTAGGCCTCGACGTGGCTTACCACGTCAACCAGACCTTGTCGAAGGCGCTGGGCGTCCGTATGAATGGCGGAGATGCCAAGCTATTCGAAGAGATGATTGCGAAGGGTTTTTTGGGTAAAAAGTCTGGCAAGGGATTTTTTGTGCAACCTTCTAATGGAAAGAAAGCTAAGAAGATCTTGAATGCTGATGCTACAAACATCGTGAAAAAGTTCCAAAAAGAAGATCGAAAGCTCAGTGAAGAAGACACGGTGAACCGTCTTATCTCACGCTTTGTAAACGAAGCCGTTCTATGTGTACAAGACGAGATTATTGAATCTCCTTTGGAGGGCGACATTGGAGCAGTATTTGGCATTGGCTTCCCGCCTTTCATTGGTGGCCCCTTCCGCTATGTTGACAAGGTGGGCAGCGCAAAGTTCACGGAGATGATGCAGCGTTATGCTGACCAATATGGCCCGCAATTTGCACCTGCACCGCTCCTGCAAGACATGGCCAAGACGAACAAGAAGTTTCATTCGGCTTAAACAAACTTATGAGGTATTCTTTAATAGCCAGACCTCAGCAGACTCGATTCAAGCAATTCAATGCAGAGCATGATCGTAATGTGTTGATTAATTAATGTGTGTGAAACTGTAATTCGGTCGCACATCCCTGCTCAGTCTGAGAAACGGCTACATTTTCTTGTAAATATTGTCAAACGACGTTTTTGCGGGCAACAAGTGCCGTCAACGACTTCAGCATGCTTGTGCATATACATCGCATTACTAAAACGAACGCTATTTACTTATACAGTACTTGAATGCTGTTGACGACGGTAAAAATGGGGGGCGCCCTGCTTCTGTTGAGCTCTAAAGAGATAGAGGACAGCAGGGCTGTGACGGGTCACACGGCACCTTGCACAGAGGAAGCTTGACTTCCAAGAGTATACAAACTCTAAGTGAACGGCAGTTCACCGAGGACACGTTAACCAAATTTAGGTAGTTTTAAGACTGAATATATTTATAGGTGTTCCTTAATGCATGTACCCATCACCAAATTTAGGTAGTTTTAAGACTGAATATATTTATAGGTGTTCCTTAATGTTTTCTTATTACATGACTCTCAAGCCATGTACCCATCTAGTAATGTGGTGTGCCACACCACAGCTCCCTTGGGAGAGTGACGGGTCGCTCTCATGTGACCCCGTTACAAGGGCCAAACCCCAAAGAGCTGCGTGCTCTTGAACACAGAACGTGTGTGTAAGCCGGGCTTTCTGGTCGTAAAAGCGACCATGAATAGCTTTGATAAGCCATGGAAAATCTTATCGATTCTGGTGCATCGGGCAATTATGCTCGACGCTCCACGATCAAAGGAAGTCAGCTGTATGCTAAAGCGCTGGACGCTGTTGAGTGACACCGCCACTGTTCTTTTAGCGATGGTGATGTGCCGAGAATCCCTGTGGACCTCGGTGTCAAGTTCCTTGACTTTAACAGCGTCGAACACTGTCTAGTCTTAGACTTGGATGTAAGGTATGACCATATCCTTGGTATGGCATGGTTGGAACACCATGAACCATGGATTTATTGGAGGTCGAAGACCTTGGGCCCTACGCGCACAACTCTGGTGGGGATTTGGTTAGTCATAAACCCACCTCTGCTAGAAAGCAGAAGCGCTATTGGCGCGGGCATTGGACGGAGACGGTCAATATCGGAGTATCCGAGTTGTCAAAACCAAAGATGTTTTGGATAAGAGTCCCGAGCGTGGCTCGCGAGCTGAACGTGGATAGGCACGTAGCCCACCGAGCGCTGCGCAGTCGCTGCATGCCAAGAATGGCCTGGTCGGCTAAAGGCCGAGATTTCCTGGGCAAGGCCCTTCTGATACGCGTATGGTGGCACGTTATCTACTGAACGAAGACTGCAGAAATAGCAGTTTTCGTCGGATGCTGTTAATAACATCAAGGCTTCAATGGAGCAGGGAGTGGGGACGCTGGACGACGCCGAGTGCGTGTTCGCACTGGACTTGATAGAGCGTAAGGCCTCTTTTGTGTGGAGACGGCAAAGCCGTATGATATCTGCAAGAAGCAGAGCATCAACCCTGACCCAGGGTGTGTCTACCGTAGACGATAGCGCACAGCAGTTTACCCTTGGCAACGGTTTAACGGGAGAGAAAGACGGCGACGTCACCCTCGAGGCTATTCCCGCAATGGATGCTCTTCTTTTGCTGGACATGATGCCTGTAGGCAGGCAATTTAGTCGAGGTCGTCATTATACGACCGAACAAGAAAATTAACTCGTCGTCGCTTCTGGATGAAGTTGTGTTGGAGGACACTATGAGGATGCTGAACGCACGAAGTGGATTGTCGATCCTGAAGGATCCTTATCCTTTGGCAAGGAAATTCCAAGACGTCGTCTCCAAAGACACGCCGTCGGTCCTACCTCCGGACCGAGATGTGCGTCATCAGAATGACCTGGTTTCGAGAACCAAAAACTGCGTAACACGCCAATGCCTCTGCCCAAAGAGCAGTGTGACGTCATTGACGCCATTTTCCGTGCAAAGCACGACGCAGGGATGGTATGTGAGAGCAAGTCTCCCCATTCGACACCCACTTTTTTGTGTCCGAAAGCCGAACGGCAAGTGGCGTATCGTTCACGCTTATAATAAGCTATTCGCTACCACCATTCCATCACAAACGCCAATTTCTAGTAAAGATGTTTGAAAAAAACAGTGTACTCAACTTAGTGATGGTTATCACCGATTGCTCATGATATTCCACTGACTGCGGTAAGTACTCCGAGCGGGATGCTCTGGGAGTAGCTGGTGATACACAAAGGGCTTTCAAATGCACCAGCAACATTTAATCTTCTTGTGATGCAGTTATTCAAAGTCCATCGGGCGTATGCACAGACATACTTTGACGACATCTTCGTTCACACGCGTGCAGGGCACGGGAGGACAGATGAGGAGAACCACATCGTCCATTTAAGAGCGGTGCTAGAGTGCATGCGCACGAACAAACTGTACGCCAATACAAACAAGTGCATCTTTGGCGCAGAAGAGATTCCCCTTTTAGGGTGCTTCATAGGGAAGCGTGGCCTTCGAGCGGATCTCGCTAAGGTCAAGGCCATTGTAGATTGGCCGGTTCCAAAGAACCAGAAAGACTTGCGTAAGTGGCTTGGTCTCCCCAACTACTTGCACAAGTATAGCGTAATCTACGCAGAAATGGCCCGATCATTATCCAATCTTTTTAAAAAGAATGCGGAATGGTGTTGGAACACCGAACAGTAGGAAATTTTGACGGGGTCAAAGATAGCCTCCTGCATGCACCGATCTAGCGCTGCTAGACCCCGATCGTCCTC